GCAGGAATGTTACTTTTGGCTTTTCTCGCTGTCCTGAATGGACTCTTCTCTCTTCTGAAGAGAGAGAAGAGAGAAAAGTGACATGTTTCAGTTTTTAAGTATTCCATAGGGTTTGCCACGCTTCCACTTCTGAGTTTAAGGAGTCTGGGCCCTAAGGTAGGGGAACTCACATTACCCTGAGTCAAGTCACATGAAGCTACCTGGTGCAGAGCATCCAGGCTCTGAGAATTGACCTATTAAAAGTCTTTATCATCTAACTGTGGTGAAGGGAGAAGAATCACCATTACTTCTGCTTTGTTTAGCATCATCTGCCTGTTCTTCCGTATTTCTCAGCAGATTCTTTGCATCCAGTAAAAAGCAGCACTCCTCTCTATGCATTGCTTTTAAATAATCCAGGATCAGTTATTTCTCCATCAAAAGTGACTACTACTATCTTCTACTGTATGCCTTTCCAGCCTCTCTTTATAAAGATACCATCACTTTGGCAACCTTTTGCCTTTTAAATCTAGTAGTGAAATACTGTCTCCTACCCTGAATCCAGCATAGGAAAAGCCTCTGGGAGTAGCATCTCAAAAATTGGCCCCTGGGACTGATGTCTGTGAACTTTTTAAAGATGAGCACATACTTTACTGCCTTATCCTGACCTGCCAGATCTCATCAGTAGTAAATCCTTTAGGATTTATGGCATTGAATTAAAATTGAACAGAGTTCTGTCACTACTTATGGTTACATAAAATTACTGGAGGTGTTTGCTAAATCTCATTGAGTGCTTTAGAGCCATTTGAAGTTGAAAGCCAAAAGAGAACTTGGGATGAGAACAACGGAACCAGTCCTTTGTGAACAGAAGGTGCACCATCATTCCTTAGTGTAAGTGCTGTTGCATGCAAAATTTTGTCACAGGCAAAAAGCACACCATATATGTGGATTCAATAATTTATTGCTAATGTAATTAATGTAAGGCGAGAGCTATTACTAGTCCAAATAAAAGGACACCCACATACTAATAATCCAAATTTTTCAATTAAAAAGGCAAGGGAGGAATTATTAAGGTGATTAAAATATCGATATGCAAGCTATACTAGCTATACTATCTTCTAGTGAGCTGCCTCTTTTAGCTGAGGTTCTTCCTCAACCTTCTGGTCATCTGTGGATTCTGGAGGTCACTGGCCAGCCTTTGTTAGGTGAAAGGGCTTGGGTGACTGTCACAGCAAGGTGCATCCTGAGGGTAGCATTGATGGTGTTGGTTTCTTACCCTTCTTTCTTCAGATTTTTGGGTTCTTGTAGGGTTGGTTTTATATATTGCCACTTGGTGTGCTTCTTTCCCATTGATCTGCAATTCTTTTTTTATTATGCAGTGGTTTTTGCTTGCTCATAGGCGCTTGCTGTACTTTAGCCATATCTGATATGGCTAATTGTTACCATGTATGGTAAAGGACAATGAGATTAAACAAGTCCCAGGGATTAGGGGTAGTGAATAAGGTCTGTGTTTGACAATAGACCCCTGGTAATCTCGCAGTCTATGGTTGGTTGATAGTAATAGCAACAACTATGTACTGTGCTATGAGGCTACAGTGGGAGATTTGAACTGGGAAGGCAGATGAGTGAGTTTTTGTCAGGTTGTGTTTTATTAAATTAAAGCTGTTACTTTTAAATACCATATGATGTTTTGTTTTATTTTTAAAATTAAGACAAGCAATCAGGAAGGATGTACTTGCAGGAGAGAGAGAGACTTGTAAAGTGATGATCCATGATTTGCTTTTTTCTTTGGTTACCTGAGAGATTCACTGAGGTGTAGGTTTATTTGGAGGAGCTCCACACTAGGGCAGTTTGTGTTCAGATTATGTGATGGCAGGTGCAGAGCTCCTATTCTCTCACTAGTCGTGTAAATAGACTGTGTCTACTCTACAACTTGAGTATTACGGGAAGAGATAAATTATGAAGGAGGGACCTTCAGGATCACTTAATGGACATTGCAGAGCACACCTGGGAGTCAAATTTCTTTTGTTTGGGTGTCCCCTCAGCAATGTGGTTATCTGGACAGCATCAGTTCTTCATACTAATATAGTACACTTACAATGCATTAAAAATAACTACCTGGTGGCACGTCTTTCTCTCTGCTATAAATACAGATCATTTTTCACTTCCAGTTATTGTACAGACATAATAGTGACTGTCGCCTTAAAAATACTTCTCTGACCTATTAGCTTGTATGAATTGTTTGAGACCTAGTGGTTTCCAAGAGATTCTGTTCTTGTCAAGGCTCATTGAGAGGAAATATAATAAAATAATTTTAGGTCTCAGACAGCCTGTAACAGCTTATATAGAATCCCTCTGCAGCAAGTACTAAACTTGAAGTACCCATTTTTGTTTTGAGATTTCCTTCACTTTTGTGAAGGAATTGTGGTGATATTGCGCCACCTGGAGAGAATGTACTTTGCTTCTCCATGGTTTTAGAACTAGCATGCATGAGTCTTTGGTCCTCTCAACTTATTTTTTGTGCAAAAATACTTTAACATATGTTAATGTATTTTCTCGTATTGATAGTGCTAAATCAAGCGATGTTTTCTGTCTTTGTGTTGTTATTTGTAAATTCTCCTCAGATGTTCTCACTTACACGGTCTTAGCCTTTACATAATTTATAACTTGTGTCAGGTCTCTTTTGCATCTGCTGAACTACTTTTAGGCTGATACTTTTAATTATTCCAATATATTATTCTTGACTATTTTCCTGGTGCTAAAATCATACATAGATTTTAATTATCTTTCTGAATGTTGGTGAGATCTTAAATAATCACAAATTTGCTTGATTGAACACTTTTTTGCAGTTCCAAAGTGTACTTACTGCAAAAGTATTTACATGTCACAACATGATAAAGAGTTATGAAATAGAAAGCGTTCTCTAGAATTCAGTCTGCATCTAATCTGTGCACGTGATATTAAAAAATGTGAAGGGACAGGGAAGGGTCTCAGTTTGAAATCATAGCTGAATTTTGATACAGCCATAATTCAAAAGATAGAAGAAAGCATATGCTCAAAGCCATGGTCAGCCACGGGTTTGTATGTTAAATAACAGTACAGTATGCTTTTGAGCTGGTTTGCGTATCCTTGAAGGGTAAAAATGCTTAAATTATTGTTTAGAGGTTCTATTCCAAAGCTGAAATTGCTAGGAATACTTCTGTTGTTTTGGTAACATTTAGATGCAGAGATGCATGCCTGATTGTGATGCTTTGCATCTTGCAGCTGATAGAAAAATGTGTATGCAAAATCCAGTAGTTCAGACTTCTGTTTGGATTTCTAGATGAGTAAATATACACTATATATAATCTATAAATTCAGTCAGTTAATTTATTCATTGTGACGGCTTTATTTGTTTAGCTTGCATATATAATGTCAAATGAGATATTAGAAATCCTCATGCTTTTGCAAATGCCTGAAATAAAACTTCCCTTAAGGGATTTCGCTACCATTTGCTGTAATTAGGGAAAATTACAGTGTAGTCCCTGAAGGAAAATGATACGTACAGCACAACTTCAACCAGAAGACCATTCTGAAATTCATTTAAATAAATAGTTTCAGATTAGGTTCAAATATTTTTAGGTCTGTTCTTTTTTTTGAAGGAACAGTTTCAGCAACACATGCAAACTTGAGAATAAATCTTTAGACACGAAGATTCCCTAAGAGTCCAAACTGTTTTCTTTCTGACACGCAGACATACTGATTGGCTTTGAATAGGTTTAATCTGTTTGTAGCATTGTTACCATCAATGAAATGGAGTTTCTACTTTAAAGGAATTTGTGTGGATTGGTGTTACCATTTTGAGATCCTTAGCTGAAAGGCAGTATAATATAAAATATAATTACTACATAATTACAGTGATCTAGAATATTCATTAAAGGAGGGGTTGAAAGTTCCATGAGAATTTTACCTAAACAGAAAATGGAATAACTAAGGTACTTTTCTGTCAGTGCTATTTTGAGCAGAATTCGCCCCGCATTATCACTGATGATGTGGTTGCTCTCATTATTTGATAGCCAAGAAAGGCTATTAAACCAATATAAGGTTGGGTGTGTTTTTTTTTTTTTTTTTAATACAAGTTTCACTTGACTTCCATTGCTTCCATGATACATTATAAAGACAGGTGAAATATAGTTCATCAGGCATTTTGTTTAAAAAGTGCATATAGTTGGAGTGGAGAAGATAAGTTAGATACATAGAGGTTGTGAGTGCACAATGAAATATCTTGGTCAAAATAACTGTACGTGCATGTACATTATTTTGACATAAACAGATTTTTTTTTCTTCCCTTAACATCTTGTTCTTGACTTCTATATACAGCTTAGTTCTTGGCAATGTTCATTTTTTACACTGCTGAGAACTAAAACGATCTGTTTATTCTCAGGTAGTTCTCAAAATAAGAACTTCATTGCCAATAGTTTTGGTTAATATGAGGAATTACATTGACTTCTTTTTCTTTGTAGTGTAAAACATTGTCTGGAATTTGTGACCACATTATCTCGCTCTCATCTGATTCTCTGGTGTCACAGTCAGCACATCTTGAGGTAGTTCATCTCACCAGCATTATGCCCAGTGAGGGTTTGGTAAGTGGCAAAGCTACTTTTAACTGTTGGAATACTGAATACCAGCCTCAGTTCTTTAAGGTGATTTCTTTCTTAATTTATCAAGAAATCAAAATGTATTTTCATGCAGTTTATTTTTTGAGAAGCTGAATCTGATTTGAGATGGTTTAATCTGTAGTCTTTTCACCAAAATAAATTTTATTTGTTAACAAAATGTTAAGACCTGTTTACATAGGGCTTCATATGCAATTGATAACCATATGAGCAGCTAAAGTAGAATTTATAGTCCTTTGATAGCTGTATGACAGTTTTTAGAATGTATCAAAGTAATTCATTTTGTTTGTATATGTAGATATTTTGGGATCCAGTACAATTAGTTAATGTGCTTTGGAAATGAGTAGTGCATGATCTGTTTCTTAGGCTTGCGTAAAAATAATTACATGCCTCCCTTATGATCCCGTTTAAATAAAACTTTGAGAAGTATAATCTCAGAAACAAAATAAATCCCTTAAATTTGTATGTACTTGTTCACTGAACAGAATGATTAAGACACTTTTGTATATACCAGCTGCTCTGCATTAGTAATGAGTCATTCCATTAAAATTATTTGCAGCGTTGATAACGTAATGATTATTACGTTACTGATTATTACGTTACTGATTATTACGTTACTGATTATTATGTTGGGTTACTGCTTTTAAATACCGATGTACTCTTACACTCTTTGGACAAGTGATTTTTGTGGGGGTTTAGGTGTCAGTGGGTGAAAGTTTTTCTCTCCTCTTGCTAGTCCCCTACTTCACATCCATTTTAATATCAGTAGGGTATAGCAGAGGTAGGGATTTTGCTGGCAAGTTAAGATCCTAATGAAAGTTAGAGTATAAGGTAGCACTGTAAGCGCTAGGATATTCTTGCGCGCTCTCCTGAAGAGACGGACCACTTTTCCCAGTGATCCTATGTGGCAGTTTTCTTCTGCTTCAGCATCCTCTTGGAGAGAGGAAAGTGCACCTCTACTTGGAGCGGGGTAGGGGGAGTGAAGTAAAAGCTCTGTGTGGCCTGCATTTCACAGGCACAAATTTCACAGACACTTTTTCAGTCGTGCCTTTATCTAAGGATGGGGGGATGTCAGAGGTTTTCAGATCATGGAGAAAGACAAGGGAAAGAAGCATCTGTTGGACATGCTGGATTGCTAGGGCTGAGGAGACTGGGTGTTGGAGGGTTGGAGGCAGGGTGTTATCAGTGACGCAGGAGTTGAGCGTGCTGAGAAGCAGAAGCATTGTGAGAAGAAATGCATGTTGTTTCAGAGAAGAGATAATACTGATAACGTTCCTCTTATTGTTGCTGTAGTTGAGGGATATCCAGGAAATACCAAGTCGGTATCATTTGCAGGTTGTGTAGTGTCTGTAGTGTAAACGTGTCAGTGCTTTTGGCCTGCATTAAGACTACTGCAGTCTGGATGTAAGTGGAACTTTCTGTTCTATCTGGAAATGTGGAATATCAAAGGGGAGGGACTGTTGCAGCATTGTACGCTGGGCCCTGTCACTGGCTGGAAGAACCATGATGTAGTTCTGCTTTGCAGTGTACTGATAAGTTTTATAGCCTGCAGTAAGTGGGCACTGCTGATGGAGGACATGAGACAAAGAATACTGTAATCAATTGCTGGTTTAGTTTTTTTTTAGATGTAAGTGAAATCACCATGAATGACTGAGTTTACTGTGCCTGTAACGAGGTAGGTTGCAAAGTTCCTCATAATGTTCAATTTCGCTGAGACTATGTTCTGTTTAGAAAAATACATGGAAAAGGACTATAAATGGGAATAAAAGAAAAAAACATATGAAAAGGAGAAGAAAACAATCAGGGTCAAATATAGAACAGAGTAACAAATTACAAATGGCTTTCTCATGATTGCATAGCAGTTTTTTCCACAGAATCTCTGTTCCATTCAAGAGAAAACTGAGTGCTATTCACTGAATAGAAAGTGTTCAGAGTTGCATTTTTATCCTTATCAGTCAGCGTAGAGGTTGAGGTCCTATTTACCATGTTTCAGCTAAGCTCTGCATTCTCTTGGGTTACAAATTTCATCATGAGATTTTTTTTTTTATATGGCCTTCTTGTGTGCTTCACAGACAGTAATTAATTCATCCTTGCAACACACTTGTGAGAATGATATTGTAATTTTAGTTTTATAGATAGGATTCTCATTTGTGACAGAATCATAGGTCTATTTTTCAGGACCCAACAGGAGATGCTTAGTATATGATTTTTCAAATATTTTGTTACTTTTGTAGCTTCTGTAGCATAAGTTGAAAACACAGTCTATCTTGCTTTTAGTTGTAGTTAAGGTTTGCAAAGCTACCATTAGCTCTATCTTCAGCTTCCTAAATGGTTGACACCTGGAAGATGAATACAGCTATTTGCCGTTCATGAAAGAATGTGCTGTAAATGACTTGCTCAGGTTATATAAGAATTCAGTTATCCAGATTGATATTCAGCTGCCTAAAATATGAGACTTTCTCTATTTGCAGAATTTGAAAAACAGCTTTTCTATATACCTTCCAATTTCTTCAATGAATGAGCTGAACATCCTATAGACTTTGCCTAAACTACACACAAACTGAATTAATTTTCAGGCCAAGGTCCATACAGTGACTACACTGAGTCAGGACTTCTGCAGGGATGTGTCTGTGTTAGTAATTGTTTAAATAAATTCTGTATCGTAATACGTTTTCACAAAAGTGACTGTATGTCATTTCAATGAGTACCTTTGTTTTTTAGCATTTTCTGAGTTTCTAATCTTATATTTTCGAGCTTAATATGCTTTTTCTCTTTTCCTTTCTAAAGCATCCTAATTTCTAGTCTGCTTTATTAAAAAAAGAAAAAAAGAAAAAAGGTGTTGGGGAGGAAACATTGTTTTATCACATGCAGTCCTCAGAAGATACTGTTTCATGGCTGTTTGCTAGACAGGAGAGAAATTTATATTGGGAAGAACACATTTTGGGTTCCATTCCAAGCTCTGATGAGGTTTGTGTTTGTGTCCTGCTCTCTGTAGCCACTTGCAGGCCCCCGCTTTTTTCTGTTGTATTACCGTTCCTTCCTAAGCTGTACCTCTCTCTGCATAGTAGTCAAACTGATTTCTGCTTTTCCCTCTTAAGCCACTGAATTTTCATGGTGACAAATACCAGAGCACTCTCCATATTTTTTTCCATTACATTTTAAAGTTATTTTCAACATTGTCAAACACTTTCTCCTGAATTGTAGTGTTTGCAAAGGTGATACTATGTATGTCTGAAGTGTACTTTATGATTAGCCTGAATAAGAGGATGGGAATGCAAAACCTTGTTTCAAACTACTGATTTGACAAACCTGGAATTAATCCTATAGTAAAAAAGTATTAGACTGTCAGGTCTGGCCACATTGACGGAAAGAGAACATGCATGTGTAAGTTTTTATGAAATGAAATGAAAACACTGTTTAACTAAAGGATTTAAGAAAATGCCCTTCTCTGGCCTTTGTTTTTTTTTCATTCTCTGCTTGAATTATTTAAATTTTCAGTCGTGGCATGACAAAGGAAGTTGATTAATTTTTATACTTCCAAATGCACATTTCTTCTTTCTGCTTAAACAAGGATAGGTTTCCATTCTGTTGCCTGGTAAACTTCCTTTTGAAGTTGCAAAAACTTGTGTTAAATGAAACTACAGTGTGATTTTAATTTTCAGAAGCCCCACACAACTGCTGAGTATATACTCATCTCACAACAAGGCATGATTTTTTTTCCTCATTAATGTGATATTTGAAAAATCTGCTCACCTGGTATTTTTTTGATCATGCCACAGAAGTAAGTAGACTAAGTTCTGCCTTTAGGAGTCCTAGAAGTTCTCTTCAGTCATCAGATAAAGCTGATGTAGCAGCTTTCTAAAATTTCTTGTGCTAATGGACCCATTGTAACCGTTAGGTCCTTAAAGCAATAGCTCACTGGACAGTTTGTGTGGCTGTTGGCAAGGGAAGTGGTAGCAGCCCCTAAATTTGTCAGTAAATCCTTGTGGTTGAGGTTAGGTGAAAGGCTACGGGAACCTTACCATAAATTAGCTCAGGCTAAGTCCGGAGCCAGCTTTAGAGCAGATCTGCTGTCAGATAAATAAGTGCAATCTATGGGAACCGGTGCATACTCATGTCCATGGGCACGAGTATGAAGGGGTTTTTTTTGTTTCCTTTTGTTTTCACATTCTTAGAAGATCAGGGATCACAATTGGTGCACGATATTACAGCCAGTATGATTTCTCAAAAGTCTGGGTCTTTCTGAAAAGATAAACTTTTTGTCTTTTGAATTGAATGCGCTGTGCATCTATTTAAAGATTCTTCTTTGTGGCATGCAACTTCAATCTTTGAATGATAAAGACTAGTGACCACAGGTAAGCAGGAGATTCTGAACAAGCAGGCTGTTGTGTTTCTTTTTTTCCTCCTGCCTCACCCCGTATTTTCTGATGTTTGAGGAATGCAGAGCTTCTAGAATGCAGTATCATTTTTGTCCCACTTCTTTCATGTTATTTTATGATCTCTTTTGTCTGTGTTTTGTCTCTGAGGTTAGTACTGCTGATAGAAACAGGCAATGCAATCTTTCACATTTTAATTAAGATATACACTGCTTATAATCAGCTTTGTTAATTTCTCTGCAGAAGTAACTTTTCTCACTTCATTTACAAATTTAGGGGAAGCACAGATTGTGGGAATAAACATCTTTTATTAAAAACTGAAAAACTTGAAAAAATATGGACAAACTTTCAGTTGCGCAGGCCCTTCTTTTTTGTTGTAAGGATTATTCATCTATCTAATATACAGTTACCCATTCAGATAGCACCCTATGTGGAATATGTAATTTAAGGTGATGGAAGCCAATCTTCTCCATTTTTACAAGAAAGGAAGTGAGAGAGAATGCGAGAAGAAAAAGTAGTATATGAAGACAGCTTATTTTTGTGGAATTATACCTGGCTACCCTAAAAATGGTTGTTAATCTCATTTATAAG